CACTGAGTTGACCTGGGGTGCACATTCATCACGGTCTGGAAAGGATTCCAGAAGGAAGGGTTAGGTTCCTATCCTGAGACTTCTGGAATCAGACACACTATTGTTGGGCCATGGCATGGGGTCCTCTGTCCAGAGACTTCTGTGTGGTTCTTTCTCAAAGAGTCATGTACCAGAAGCCAGGAGATAAAGTCCACTTCTGGCCTCCACACCTCCCTAATGCTCTCTGGGAACTGCTTGATGGCAGGAGAACCCAGATTGTCAGACCCCATCTTGCTGAGAGATACAAGGAAAGCCAGGCTTCTGGGTTCCTTGGGTTTAAGCTTGTCCCCTATCCACTCCTGTGATTGAGGCCAGAAAGAAGGACTGGCCACAGGAACCACTCACCCACAGCCTGGTAGTAGGCCAGGAAGCCCCTGTAGAACATGAGGGTCCCATTCTCTTCATTGGAGAAGTCTGTGTGAAAGGTCAGTAGCATCTTGTTCCCCTGGGACATGAATTCCTTCTGTCCTGGGGGGTTGCCCAGGGGAGACTCCAGCTGCCCACAGAACCTCCCTAGAGTTTTCTTATCAGCAGAAATCTGTGGAAGGAAGGACAGTGAGAAAAGCCTGCTAAGGAGCCTGGTCCCATGTGGCAGGCCAGTGAAGGCCCTCCCCCTCGCCCTCTCCCCCTCCCCCTCCCCCCCCCCCTCTCTCTCCCTCTCCCTCTCCTTGGATTGAATCATGACCTAATGTTACTACCTACAGATCTGGCTGCTATGGACACCTCCAGGTGATACTTCTCTGGCCATCCCAGTCCTTCACTCATTTTTATTTTTTTGGGTAGGCTCTTACTATGTAGCCTAGGCTGGCCTTGATGACATTTATTAATTTCTTTGTTTGTGTGTGTTGCGGGACATGTTGTGGGGTATACACATGGAGCACAGAGGACTTGTAGGAGGCAGGTCTTTCCCTCAAGTGTGGGCATCCTTGGGATTGAACTCAGGGTTGTCACACTTGGAGGCAAGTGCCTTTACCCACCGAGCCATCTTGCCAGCCCTAGACTGTGGTTGAACTTGTAGTTCTTTGGTCTTCCCATCCTGACCGTTGACCAACTCTTCACCTGTCGTTCTGTGCCTGGTCATCTCTCTGCTGTGTTCTGCCCCCACCCCTCAGCTCCAATCTCACTCATTCCCACCACTTCCTGCACCCTCCTTCCCCAGGAATCCTGTCTCTAGGCCCTTTATCATTCCTTCGTTCCCAGACTGGTCATCTTTGGTCTCCCATCATCCCCCTCTTCCTCTCCGCCCCGCCTCTTCTCACTTTCCTTTTCCTCCTCGGTGTGTTGAGAAAGTGGCTTGCCTTGAACTTGCTGTCTAGCCCAGGCTGGTCTGAAACATTCTAAGTCTCCCTAGTACTGGGATCACAGGAGTGTGCCACTACACCCAGGTTTTCGTTTGCTTTGTGTTTTGTTTTCCACTTTATTGTTTATAAACCACACTCAGCCCTGCCTCCTGACAGACCCAACTGAACATGATAGTATGCTAGGTACCCAGCAGCCTTGGCATTGCTTGGCATCTTGACGGTTTTTCCTCAGTCTCTCAAAAGCAGAGGACATCTTCCTCACTAACTTCACCAAATGCTGCCCCCCTCCCCCACAACACTGCGGTCCTCTTTGTTGGGAAGATGAGCAGTTTACACTTTATTCAATTAGCCCCCAAGCTGCTGCCTGAGAGTGACAGTATGTGGCAGTGCACGGGCACTGCTTGGATCCTGCCTTTTATCTTTTCTGGACATAGAAAGATGAGGCCGAGAAAGAAATCCTTTGAAGTACAGAGTAGAAGGGACCAAGATCTTTGCCCTCCCTGAAGGCCGAGTGTAACCTGCAACATGTTTCATTTCCTCCTGTTCCTGATGAGGTAGGTAGCCATACAGGGAAACTGAGGCACAGCAATTCCCTAAGGTCTTACAGCTAGCCTTCTCCTGACTCCTATACATAGTGAGATCTCCTGGAAACAAAACAAAACAAAACCAAACCCTTTTTCCCCCAACCATGATTCTCACCGAGGGCCTTAAAACCCACGAGTACCCCATCTATGGCACCAGGAACTCAAGGCCAGCGTTTCTACAGAGCTGCACAATGTTGAGGTGCAGGCATATTGTCCAGGGTGTTTAGAGCACAGACTTCCAGCTTCTCTCGAGGCCCAGCCTTTTCTCCCTTCCCTCCCAACCTGACTCCTACCTTGACATAGTCATAGAAACAGCCTTCAGAGGGCTCCACATCAAACTGCCGGAAGACGAGCTTCACCCTGTACCCCGGGGGGACTGTGATCACAGTGGTTGTCTCAATGTCGTTGGGGTAAGGCTTGGGATATAGAGGGGAGGACACCTCTCCATAGAGCTTCTGAGGCATGTAGGTGGAGCCCCCCACCCTGCAGAACAGGGTCACTAGAAGGAGGGCCAAGAGTTGCCTGTTAAAGAGAGAAGGGGGGGGGTGTTTGTGGGGCTGGAAGGGTGCAGCGCCCTTGCCATTTGGGCTGTTGTGGGGCGAAGACGGGATGATTGAACTGCCCATCCCTCCCCTCTGTCCATTCTAGACTAAGTAGAGGTACTGTGATGGGGGTAGCGGCAGCCTTTGCAGAGGCTGTATCCGTGTCCCTCCCAGGCCAGTGTCCAGTCCAGAGGTCACCATGCTCCCATCATGCTTTCCCCCACAAGCCGATTCTCTGCCCTCCTCCTTCATCTCCTTTTCTTCCTGGAATAGGACTGGCTCAAGATCAGCTAACGGAGGGTGAAGATGGCTTTGCCAAGACTCCCAAGGCTTCAGCAAAGGCGTCTGGGAGAAACCCTTCACGGAGTCTAAGAAACACACATAGGGGATTCTCTCCTCATTCAGAGGGTTCCCTCCCCTCACTGTTACCCTGCTGTGAGCCCAGAGTCAAGAAAAGAGAGGCAGCCCCAGCTTATGCCTAAGAGTCTGGTCCTTGGGAGGAGGGCTGAGGAGCATGTCCTTGTATATGTGTGTGCACTGGAGACAGGAAATAGTGTTGTGTCCTTGTTTTTTTTTTTTTTAAAGTAATGTGGGAGCATGCTTGCCTCCTGTGGCCAACCCCTCCCTCCCCACCTGGTGCCCATCAGCCTTACTCACATGTCTCAAGGCCAGTTTGTTTTGGGTCTTCAGCTCTCCTGAACAGTCTTCAGGCACTGTAAGTTGAAAGAGGGAGTGGGCATGCACAGGAGGGGAGCGGGAGGAAAGGACTGTGGCAGCGGAGGGGTGACCATTCCCTGAGGAATGTTGTAGGGAATGAACATTTGCATAAACAAAAAATTCTGACTTCCCAGTTTAGTTTTGGTTTTGAAATCCCTGTTGCTGGTGCCACCTGGTGGCCTACATGGGGAAGGACCGAGGAGATGGGATCTGAATTTTTAGGGACCGGAAACTTTTGGTTGGAGGTCCAGACTCCAGCGTTTCTGAGTCTGATTAGCATTTTCTCGGAGACTGTCCTGGGGGCTGCTAGCTGGGGTTTATTCGAGGTTCCTCTCCAAAGGCATCACGGGCCTCGGAGGCTGTGCGTTCCCATTGGTTCTATTCTTGTTATTCTTCCTCACCTAGCAGCTGGGATGGTTAGCTGGGGCAGGAGGATGGGTTTAGCTACCATGGGTCCTTGGCCTGCATTGCTCACGAATGACATTTAGCCCTGGATGAGGGGTTGCTGTGTCTCAGGACTCTAAAACAACGCTAGGCTTTGAGCACCCCCACACAACCACCATCACGGAACCCGGGCTTGTCAATGAACTTAGATCTTATTGAAGATAGGGTAATTACAGAGGGGAGAAACATCTTTTCCTGGGCATCTGGTCAATTTGGGTCCTCAGGGATACAATTGCTCAGTGCTTCAAGCAAAGGGTGTGGCTGCAGATGGAGGGGACATCGTGTCCTGTTTAAAATTTTTGTTCCTGTGTCCACAGCACCGAATACCTTATGTTACTTTGTTCTGTGGCTGCGGAGGAGGCCTTCCAGTTCCTCTAACACTGGAGGGGGAACCTGATGTGTTTCTTATTCGATGAACCCTCCCACCCCATCCCTTACTAGTTTGCTTCTGGGATTATTTCTATTAGGGGTCAGACTGTGGAGTTCAAGGACTCACAAAGACGGAGCCAGTCTCCCATTTGACAGTGACCCGTCATCTTGGAGTGTAGCTGGAGAGCAGGCACACACAAGACGCCAGAACTACCAAGGTTTGGAAGGTTTTCCCAGCAGATGTGCGTGTTGGAGCAGAGGCATGGATGTAGTGCAGGGCTGATCCATGAATTTAGCATGATAAGAGCATGGCCTTGCCAGATCAGGAAAGACAAATGGCGAGGAAGAAGGAACTGGACTGAGATTGGAAGACAGAAGGAAGAGGGGGAATCTTGTCTAGTGAATTGCATGTTGTTATCTTAAGAGCTGTGTGTGTGTGTGTGTGTGTGTGTGTGTGTGTGTGTTCGTGTGTTACATGTTCATAATGGAGGCAGAGGCAATAGATAGAGAGGAGGTCTATTAGAACAAGTCAGCTGAAGCAATCTTATCAATCATAGGGATTCTGAATTCTGTCATGATGTCATGTGACTTGACCGAAAATTGCCAAATTTGGACTTGACCAAAAATTGCTAAATCGGGACCTTACCACCTTAGGTCCAACCCATTGTTCAAACAGTCAAATCAAAATCAAAATCTATATCTACATCTAGAGATAAAAATAATTACATAGATCTAGACAAATATATGTAAGTATTTTGCTTTGTCAATACGAAAATATATATTTTTTTTATAAAAACAAAAATTTCAATAATAAGAATGATACATGCTTATTACATAAAACTTAGCCAGTAGAAAACAGGAGAAAATTAGTCAAAATCACTCCACCTAAAGTAACTCCTGTTCAGTATTTTTTTTAGAATACTTTTATTTTAAACCTATTTTTAAAGATTTTATTTATTTATATTTTGTATGTATGTGTTTTGCCTGCATGTATGTGTGTGTCCCATGTGCATGCAGTGTCTGTGAAGGCTGGAAGAGGGGGTAGGGTACCCCAGAACTGGAGTCACTGACATTTGTGAGGTTCCATTTTTTTGTGGTTTAGTTCTGAATCTGGGTCCACCGAAAGAACAGCCAGTGCTCTTGACCTCTGAGCCATCTCTCCAGCCCCTAGACTATTTTTAATAGTCTTTTGAATTGTGCATAAGGTTTAATAAGGAGAATCAACCATATTTAGATCCTGCCCCTATTTATTTATTTATTTATTTGTTTGTTTGTTTGTTAGTTTTCCAGACAGGGTTTTTCTGTGTAGCCCTGGATGTCCTGGAACTCACTCTGTAGACCAGTCTGATCTTGAAAATTGTACCACCACTATTATTATTTTTTTTTTTTAAGAACTTTGAGATGAGATCAAGGCTGGCCTTGAACTTATGGTTCTTCTTCCTCAGCCTCCTGAGTGCCTGGGATTTTAGGTGTGTGTCACTTGCTCAGCTTGCATCCTGCTGTTTTTCAGAGATAAACAAGATGTCATCCTTCCTTTCTAATCTTTTATGGTATCCATTCTCTGTTCTCACCGAACTGTTGTATCTTATTCTTGTCTTTCCCTGTAAATCACTCCAAATCTTTCCTACCAATTAAAGAGTTCATCTTCTCAGGCTAGCTGTGCCCTTGGTGATGGAGGCCAGGAGGAAAGTGTGACTGATAGTGCTGCCTTCGCTGAAGCAGGCCTTCTCAGAGGATGGAGTTCTGTAAAGCTGTGGGGCCCAGAAGGGGATGTGGGTGACCAGGTAGGTCTTGAGGGCAACTGAGAGGTATCCCTGCGGGCGAGCAGGGAGGAGTGTAGCCTCAATCAAGAACCAGCTGTGGGACTTCCATTGCATCTCTCCCCCAGCTTCCTCTTTGTGAGACATGGATAACGGCTAACACATCTTTCGGCCGGCATGGTGTCAGGATTAGGTGAGATAACAGGTGATGGCCTTGGCACACAGTCGATGCAGGATGAAAAAGGAGGTTTTACTGTAATTGCATGTGAGAGTTGTGATCGGTGGTGAAGCCAACTGCTTCGAACATTTCACGGTGAACATAACGGTCTCTGGAATGGTTCAGAGACACAATGCGTTAAAACCCTTTCCTCCGCACTCCATTTGAAGGAGACAATGGCTGTTCCACAAATAAATGCAGAAGAAACTGTCACTAGATGAGGTAGGGGATTCAAAAAGACGCACGCGGTCATGCTGCCAGGTTTAACTGCGCATGCTTATAATCCCAGTGTCTGGGCGGCCGAAGCAGGATCTTTGCCGTGAGTTTGAGGCCAGCCTGGGCTACAGAGTGAAATCCTGCCTCGAACAAACAAAAAGATGTTCTAAGCAAATGTTGCTTAGATGCACAGGCCTTCCCTGGTGCAAAACCCGGGAAAGCTGAAGGTGAGAAGGGGGCAGGGGGTGCTGCTTCTGATTTGGGGTGGTGTGGGTTCAGGGGAGGAGGCTTTCTCTTCGGCAGCGGGTTGATGAATCAGTGACTTAAAGAGGGTTCTCCGGCCCCAAGTGGATCTTCGCTCCTGCTCATTCTTGGTTGGGACCTCCACAGTGTTGGTGCACTGCTCAAGCCCCCTGGGGTGCTCAGGGCCCCTGGGGTGCTCAGGCCCCCTGGGGTGCTCAGGCCCCCTGGCTCAGTCTTTACCCTCCATCACCCTCTTGATCCAATCCACATAGTTGAGCACTTTGGTGTAGAAGCCGTACCCCTTGCCACACCCGATACCCCAGGACACAATGCCTGTGGCCACCCAGTGAAGAGTGCGATTGTCCCACACCACGTAGACGCTTCCGCTGTCCCCCTGGCAGACACTATTCATCTGACTCTCGTCCCCGGCACAGAACATGTTGTCAGAAAACACCTCGGTCCGCTGCCTCTGGAGGAGCCAGGCTTCACAGGCCTCCCGGGGAGCTACAGGCAGCTTCGAGTATTTCAACTTGGTAGTTAACCAGCCCATCTCCACACCAAACCCGCTGACGTAGCCCCACAGGCCGCTGTGGTAGAGGGCCTCACTGTCGGGCAGACAGACGGGGAGGAGGTTGGGGCCCAGGGGGACGCTGTGCTGGAGCTCAAGCAGGGCGATGTCCCCGTTGAAGTCGTGGGGCGCGTGCTGGCGGTAGTCTGGGTGCACCACGACCCTACGCACAGCATGGTTCCCCAGCTTCAGTAGCTCGTTTACGTCTGTGTGGCCGAGAAACACTTCCACACTGCGGTTCTTTCTGAGGTAGACGCTGTCCTTGGGGTGGACGGTGTGGGCAGCTGTCAGGATCCATCTGTCACCCAGCAGGGCTCCGCCCCCGCGCCCGTGGATGCTGGTGAAGGCTTGCCACGGGAAGCTGCCCGGCTTAGCTCGCCAAGATCCAGGAGTCTCTGGGTTCTGGGCAATGGGGACGACTGGTCTTCCACAGACTGCGAGAGAGGAGGGGGAAGGAGAGCAATCAAAAGCTGCAGGCAACTAGAGACCCGTGAGGTGCTGTGGGGGGTGTGAGGAGGCTCCCAGGTGAGAGGAGACTCCCCAGGTGTGAGGAGGCTCCCCAGGTGTGAGGAGGCTCCCCAGGTGAGAGGAGACTCCCCAGGTGTGAGGAGACTCCCCAGGTGTGAGGAGACTCCCAGGTGTGAGGAGGCTCCCAGGTGTGAGGAGGCTCCCAGGTGAGGGGAGGCTCCCAGGTGTGAGGAGGCTCCCAGGAGTGAGGAGGCTCCCAGGTGTGAGGAGGCTCCCAGGTGAGGGGAGGCTCCCAGGTGTGAGGAGGCTCCCAGGTGTGAGGAGGCTCCCAGGTGAGAGGAGGCTACCAGGTGTGAGGAGGCTCCCAGGTGTGAGGAGACTCCCCAGGAGTGAGGAGGCTCCCAGGTGAGGGGAGGCTCCCAGGTGTGAGGAGGCTCCCAGGTGTGAGGAGACTCCCCAGGTGTGAGGAGACTCCCCAGGTGTGAGGAGACTCCCAGGTGTGAGGAGGCTCCCAGGTGTGAGGAGGCTCCCCAGGTGTGAGGAGGCTCCCAGGTGAGAGGAGACTCCCCAGGTGTGAGGAGGCTCCCAGGTGTGAGGAGGCTCCCAGGTGAGGGGAGGCTCCCAAGTGTGAGGAGACTCCCCAGGTGTGAGGAGACTCCCCAGGAGTGAGGAGGCTCCCCAGGTGTGAGGAGACCCCCAGGAGTGAGGAGGCTCCCAGGTGTGACTCTGCAGAGGGCCAGGACCTTCCAAGCAGTGAATCAATCTTACACCACGGGGCCCAAATCCTGCCTAGGACGGGAGAGTGGGGCCTTCCCTCCTGGGCCTCCTACATCTTTGCCATTCCTTAACTCCGACGGGGCTCTCTCGGGTTCAAAGTTTGTCTTCAGTACTTTTTGCCTGTTTCTGTGTTATTCTCTCTTTTGTAATGTATGTACCCCCCCCACACACACACACCCCAGGCTGTCCTTAGAGTGTTCTGTGGATCACATTGGTTAGAGCAACAGTGCTTTCATTCGAAAGTAAGGATTTCACCAGGCATGTTGGTATAGGCTTGTAATCCCAGAATTTGGGAAACAGGCAGAAAAATCAGGAGTTCAAGGACATCTTTGGTTACATATCTATTCTAGGGAGTTTGAGGCCATTCTGAGCGATATGAGATTGTCTCAAACACAAAACAAAACAAATCAAAACAAAACAAAAAACCAAAACTACCACCATCAACAACAACAAAACAAAACACACAAAAAGAGTGAAGTGCTGTCATAATGTGGATGACCTTGAAAGTGTTACACAAGGGGAGAGGCCAGCCATCAACAGTTTCATAATATGGGATTCCATTGTATGGAATGACCAGAATGGACAAACCCATAGAGGTAGAAAGTAGATTAGTGATTGACAGGGCATGGTGTGTGTGTGTGTGTGTGTGTGTGTGTGTGTGTGTGTGTGTTTTGTGGGGACTGAACTCAAGACCTTATGTATCTTAGGCAGGTGGTCTACCACAGCCAACTCTCTGAGAGGCATCTTGACCTTTGGTCTTTGGAGAATGAGGGATGAGCTCCTTGTCTTCTTTTCTGGGCCCTCTTTACATCCCTTCCTTATGGACCTTCTGCCTTCACCTCCATTTTCTATTCCAGCACTTTCCGTTCACCCCATGTCCCAGCCCTCCCAGTAACAGCAGAGGCCTGCTGGCATCTGGCCACAGCAACAGCACCAGGTGGGAGCTACTCACCTGGCACACACTGAGGAACCTCTTCCCCATCCTGTCTGTCCTTCCAAGTCCCCAAAGATGGGCAGCTGGATGTCCCTGTGAGTAGAATGAAATAAAGCAAAGAGTAAGTGCAGAATTGGGGGTGCCCAGCAAACAGGATAGGTACTCAGACGGCCTTAGGCCTTTTTGTAGGAGACAGATGGGAACTGCTTCCTCAGCAGGCAGGGACTCACCAGTCTGTTCGGCCTCGTAATAGGAATCTTGGCCAAGGTTCTGAATCCTGGGAGGGTCAGCTCCAGGTGTGGTGACAGCCTTAGAGTCCCCATTGGTCTGGCTCACAGCTGTAGGGAAACAGCAGCTTTTAGGGTCTCACAGAGACTCACAAACTGGCAACTTGCGGGATGATTCTGGCTGTGTCTGTATGGTCAAGGCACAAGACTCAGCAAAATCCATGCTGCTATTCACTGATAGGTTTTTAATACTCCAAGAGCTTGAAAGCAGCTGTGAGAAGTGAGTTGTTGCCGAATATTTGCTTAACTGTGCAAAGATGTTTCATTTCTGTAACTATGTAAAGAGGTGTTTCATTTGTTTAACTATGTAAAGAGGTGTTGCATTTGTTTAACTATGTAAAGAGGTGTTGCATTTGTTTAACTATGTAAAGAGGTGTTGCATTTGTTTAACTATGTAAAGATGCGTTGCATTTGTTTAACTATGTAAAGATGCGTTTTCTGTTTTATCTTGCCTGCCTAAGGTACCTGCCTGGTCTAATAAAAAGCTGAATGGCCAATAGCAAGGGAGGAGGTATAAGTGGGACTTCTCGGCGGGGAGAATAAGTAGGAGGAGGAATTTAGGCTTGGATGAAAAAGAAAAAGAGACTCCAGGGAGACACCAGGGGCCAGCCAGACACAGAGGAAGCAGGAAAGTAGGACATACAGAATGAAAGGTAAAAAGCTCTGAGGCAAAACATAGATGAATAGAAACAGGTTAAATTAAGTTAAAAGAGCTAGTGGGACAAGCATAAGCTAAGGCTGACCATTCATAATTAATAATAGTCTCCATGTCTTTATTTGGGAGCTGGTTGGCAGCCCAAAGAAAATTCAAGTTACAGTGAGTTGTAGAGAAACTGGTCTTTCCAAACATAGCTGGCGGATGTATTAATTAGCAAAACTTCTTTGGTAGGAAGTTAAACAACTTCAAAATTTAAAAATGCAAATGTGTTGTAACCTAGCATATGAATTTCTAAGAATTTACCGTAAAGAAACCCTCACATCTGTGCTCAAAGATATGCATGTAAGGATGTACACAGTCACATTGTTGGTGGCAAAAAAGTATCTATCTATAGGAGACTCACTAAATATACATTTCAGCAATCAAGGGAATATTGTGTGTTATTAAAAACAATGATCACCAGTCGGGCAGCGGTGGTGCATGCCTTTAATCCCAGCACTCAGAAGGCAGAAGCAGGTGAATCTCTGTGAGTTCGAGGCCAGCCTGGTATACAGAGCAAGATCCATGACAGGCACCAAAACTACACAGAGAAACCCTGTCTTGAAAAACCAAAAACCAAATGAACAAACAAAACAAAACAAAAAAAGCAATGATCACCATATGCATGGGAGATGGCCTTTAAGACATACTGAATTTGGGGCTGGAGAGATGGCTCAGCGGTAAAGACCATTTGCTGTTCTTCCCGAGGACCCAGGTTCAGTTCCCAGCACCCAGGACTCTAGCTCTAGGTGATCTTTCTCCCTCTTCTGCCCTCTGCAGGTACTAGGCCCACATATGGTACACAGACATACATGCAAACAAAACACTCATATACATATAATAAAAATAAATAAACCTAAAAAACAAATCTTAAAAAAAAGGCACACTGAACTTAGAAAATGGTAACCTCAGGACATTCCGTACACTGTGCAACAAACAGGTGCAATGTGTCTTCAAGGGTATGCAATGCCTTTGGGAAAATATCTAGTAGATGGAAAGCAGGGCTGTTTCTGGAAAGTGTGGTCAGTGACAAAGGCCAGAGATCAGAGAAGTCTCACTTTTCACACCTTAATTTAAAAAAACATTTATTATGTGTAAACATTATCTTCTAAAAAAAGTGAGCCACTGTTTGAAAATCTAGAATTTTCCTTACTAACGTGGTTTTCTGATTTCTTTTGATCTGCACACAGGGCCTGTAAACTTTCCTGGAATTAATGGATGGAGCCAACAGTGACTGCCTCTGAACTAGGCTGCTCACTAGCAAGGTCAGCACAGGGACAGGGATAGAGTCAGTTCAGGTATCCCCAATCCCTGAGCCTCACCTGTCACTCATGCTCCCACTTGGCTCTTCAAGGGGTCACAAAGTTTCTCTCCCTATACTCTGGGAGGGACCCTCACCTATGGCTTGGTAGAGAGCCAGGAAGCCTCTGTGGAGGTGTGCGACCTTGTTCTGGGAAGAAGAGTGTGCCCGGAAGGTCAGCCGCAGACTCCTCCCTGAGGATACAAACTCCCTGTGACCAGGAGGGCTCTCCGGAGAGGAACCCTGCTGTCCACACAGCCGGATTGCATCTGCTCCTCTGCTTGAAATCTGAAAGAGGAAAGAGAGGACAGGAAGTGTGAGGCAAGTCTGTACCTCTGGCCACAGAATGCAGAGTCTGCCTTTACTCCACCTCTGCCTGGAAGCCATGCACCCCACGGAGCTCAGAAGCTGTTCTTGTTGAGGTCTGCCAGAATTAGCTTTCTGTCTCGTTATCATTTTCGACTCCCAAGTTTCTCCCAGAGTGATTGTGTATTTGACTCTCTCTTATGTCTGCTGTAATTACCTTGTAAAACTTACTCTGCTTTCTTTCTTCCAGAAGATTCCTTGGGAGCCCTGGGCATTCTGCACTTCTCACTAGACTGTAAATTCTAAGAAAAGACGATATCTGCTTTGTGCAAAATTGGGTCCCTGGTGCTTGTAACAGGTCTTTAGACCTTAGCACAACGGACGCCATGATGGAGGTGCCATTCAGGCTGTAAAACCCAGCACGTAGACGGCACCGCCTGCCAAAATGAGAACAAAGACCTGATCCAACCAAGTCCATAGTTCTGGGACAGTCTCTAATGTCCTAACCTTGTTGTTAGCTTCTGTAGTTCTGCTTCTGGCTAACTGTTCTTCTTAACTGAAGTAAGGATGTCAACCCAGGACTTTTTTTTTTTTGAGTGTGTTTAAAAGCTCACTCTGAGAAAGATTTAGGGCTATCCCAGTGTAGCCACTGGCTGGCAAATAAAGACTTTCTTTTTTATTTTCTTTACTTTTCCTTCCTTCATTTTTTTTTTTTTTTTTTTTTTTTTTTTGTAACCCTAGCTGTCCTAGAATTTATTCTGTAGACCAGGCTGGCCTCGAACTCACAGAGATCCGCCTGCCTCTGCCTTCCGAGTGCTGGGATTAAAGGCGTGTGTCCCATTAGCTTAAACTCATGTCTGAGCAGTCTTCTCTGGTGGACACTCCACAACATTTCTGGAGGTTCCGCCAAGACCCCTAGAGACCAGACCTCAAGACACAGGGGATCTCAGATCCCCTCGGAACAAGTGGTCAAAGGATGCACATCTGGAGATGTTCCAGGTCCCCAGGGCTCCCTTTGGTCAACGGCTGCCTAATGACGCTTCAGAGGAGTCTGACACTTCCACCCCAAAGGGAAATAAATTAGAACGGTGCCTGGTCTGTCACCTCCAGAGGTAGTCTGGGTAGGGTGCCTTCTGTTTGGACCCATAGGAAAGATTGGACGTGGCCCCTGATCCAGTGTCCAGGATCCATGTGAGATGTCACTGGGTCCCCCTGTCTGTTCAGTAGTGTTGTGGCCACCCCGACTGTCTTTACTCTGCTGTGTGTGTGTGTGTGTGTGTGTGTGTGTGTGTGTGTGTGTGTCTTTCCCCTGCCCCCCCCCCCCTCCAGGGACGCTTAAGAACTGTGCCTCCTGTTGGGGACCTGAATCCTTCTGGCCCTGCCAGGTCCCCCAGAGGGAGCGAACAACCTTCCCCCTGTCCCACTCCTGGAGTGCCTGTTCTGTTACTTGACTCCTGCTTATGGTCTGGGTCAGTCTGGTCCCTGTGTGGAGGAGGGGACAGGCCAGGACTCTCTTGTCCAGGGCTCCCTGTCATCTAAGCAGAATGCACAGGGAGGGAGAAAGAGCTCCCCTAAGGCGTGCATTCTCTCTGCTCTAAGTAGCCCTAGGAAAGGGGTGGGGGGAGTGGGTTCTGCTCCTTTCTCTTTCATGGTTTATGCCTTCTTCTCATCCAATGAGCTGTATAACTGGAAAACTAAAAACCAACTGGCCCTGGGCCTGGCAAGGGGATCATCGCTAGACACGCAGCCTCTATAGAATGAATTTTCCCCTCTGTTCAACACAGACCAAGGAGACTTACACAATTATCATTAGGTCATTTTTAGAAGTATGAAAGACAGCTGCTGAAAAAATTTTCTTTATCACCCAGCTATCCCCAAGCGCTAGAAAAGAATTATAAAAGCTAAAAAAAAAAAATCTAAGGGTATAAATAGGTCCCAGCAGCTGGAGGTAGTTCAAAGGTGTTTAACAACAGAGAACTGATTGAGAGACGAGAACCTTTTCATAAACTGAAAGACACTGTCCCCTTCTCTTATGATGAGACACGGTTAGACTTACAGATACATGCAAAATTTTGCTGTCTTGTCCTCTGTTGGAAGAATATCTTCTAGTTGAAAGTTTTGTCTCTCATCAAATATTACAGTTGGGCTACCTCTCATATTTGCAATAAAGATTCCTGAGGGTATGAGCAGAAACCAACTCCCCAGGACTGGTCCAACACCAAATTCCTATAGTTGTTCAACTAACCAGTTCATCTACCCTTGTCTAGATTAAACAATACTCAATGACCCTGGAAACAAAAAGCAAAATTGTAGTTCATATTGCCTGACTTGGAGAGACAGGCATCCTGGTGCCCTGCCAGTCACCCTAGAATATACCTCTCCTGCCTGTGAAGAAACCTGGGACCTCTGGTTCTCATGAATCTGATTCTTCCAGAGAAACAGGTGCTCACTGTCTTGGACCTGAAAGATGCATTCTTCAGCCTCCCATTGGCAGAGGTGAGTCAACCACTATTGCTTTTAAATGGACAGACCCAGAAGGAGGTTACAGAGGGCAGCTTACCTGGACCAGGTTGCCCCAAGGATATAAAAATTCTTCAACTCTGTTTGATGAGACACTAAATATTGACCTCTTGCCCTCTGTCGGAGGTTTCTTAAGGCAATATTCTTAGAATATGAAATTATTTTCTCCTAGCCTCTAAAATGAGAATAAATTATAAAAGGGCCAATGAGGGACTGCTGCAAGTTACAGACCCTGGGCTATAGAATGTCACTTAAGAAAGACCAACTTTGTACGTCAGAGGCTACCTCTCGTGGCTACCAGGTGAAGAGAGGCAAAGGGGACTGTCTCAGAGCAGGGTTGCTGACATCCTTAGATCCCAACTCCAAAGACTAAGAGGTAGGTTAGAGTGTTCCTATGTGTGGCTAGGTATTGCCACCGCAGGATACCGGTGTTTTCAGAAACAGCCAGGCCTCCATACACCAGCACAAAGCGGAACACTGAGTCTTTAGTCTGGACTGAGACTAAACGAAAGGCATTTGAGGCTTTAAAAACAGCTCTGACTTCTGCTCCAGCCCTAGCACTTCCAGATGTCCCCACACCTTTTCATCTTGTCCATGAAACAAGAGATATTACAAAAGGGGTTTTAACCCGAACTTTGGGGCCACAGAAATGCCCTGTGACAAACCTGTCCAAATGACTGGACCCTGAAGTTACAGAATGGCCCACCTGTCTAAGCTGTGACAGCCACTGCTAGTCTAGTGAAAACACATAAACAAGTTAACTCTGGGTCAGGGTCTTATAACTCATGATGTTCATCCTCCAAGGACCATCAGAATGCTGGCTGTCTAATGCCTGTGTGACCCAGTACCAGGCCCTACACCTGGACCACTCTCTAGTCCAGTTTGAGAACCACCATCAATCCTGCTACCCTCTTGCCTAATGATGACCTTTAGATGCTTATCCGTAACTGTAACGAGACGAAAGATGAAACCAGGTACATGGGAGCTGCAGTAGTTTAACTGAAATAATTTGGACCCAAACTGGGTACCTCAGCCCAGAGAGCAGAACTGATTGATCTGACCCAGGATCTCAGATGGGGAAAAGGAAAGTCCGTCATTGTATACCTGGACAGTTGGTATGCTTTTACTACTGTGCATGCCCACAGTATCAGCTGTAGAGAAAGAGGGCTTCTCACCACTGGGGAAAAGAACATTAAAAATAAAAAGAAAGTCTTGGCCCTCCTGGAGGCTATTTGGCTTCCCCTATAAGTTGGTCTCCTCCACAGCCAACGACACTGAAAAGATGGCTCCCCGGAGGCAGGAGTAACTGCGCTGTTGACCTGGCAGCCCAAGTGCCTCCAAGAACAGTGGGGTCTTTTGATATTCTGACGACAGACCCCAATTCAGTGCTGCCTACCACTCCGCAGAACAACCAAGAGGAAACAGAGGATGCAAAAATGGACAGCTAAAACCCACGGGCTGATGGAGGGCACCAGAGGGAAAGATCATTCTCCCAGAAACAACTGGAAGGATTCTGATAACTGACCTTTACCAGGCTACTCATCTGGGGTCCACAATACTTTCTGAGTTGCTCGGACCAAGATATATATAGGACAGTCTGGCATGGGATCTCAGCCAGATGCTAAGTTTGTGCTCAGATAAAACAAAACAAAAACAAAACAAAACAGAGCACCCTATGCAGGAAGGGGTCTGAATGAGAGGCTAACATCCTGGTGAGCTCTGGGAAAACTGAGTTCACCAAGATCCAGCCTTGTGAGCCCAGAGTGCTCAGTCCCTCAGCTGCTGTGCAGCACGTCTGTCTCCCAGAACCATCCTGCACCACAGCCAATACCAGTCCCCACCTAGCTCAGTTGGTAGAGCATACGACTCTTAATCTCAGGGTTGTGGGTTTGTGCCCCACATTGGGTGCCAGAAAAAGCAAGAAATCTACGGGAGTCTGCTTAAGGAGTATTAGGGAATTTATTAGGGTATAAATAGAGGAAATACACTCAGGAATACAGAACTGAGTAAACAGCTGAAGTTGTCCTCTGTTCTGACCGTGAGCGAATCCACTTGGCAGTCTGTTCACGCTAGGAAGCAGGAACAGGGAGAAGCAGGAACAGAGAGAAGGGACCTTGTGACCCCTCTCCCTTTCCTTTTAAGAGGTCACATACAACAGCAAGAAGTACTGCCTCCTTCAGGCTGTATAGCCCAAGGTCATGGGCAGAGCAAATACTACTACATTGCCTGCCAGAGAAAGATACAAGTACTTGCTAACTTTTATAGATACCTTTTTCAGGTGGGCAGAAACATTCCCCAACCAGACTGAAACTACTCAAATAGTAGCTTAAAAGCTCCTCTAGAAACTGGTTCCCTGCTTTGGCCTTCCCCTAGAATTGGGGTCTAACAACATCCTAGCTTTCATAGCCAAAGCATCTCAATTATTAGTAAAAAGCTTTAGGTATGGATTGGAAACTTGAGTG